ATAATGTGACTGAATCACTGCTAGCTGCATGACCACATGACTGTACGCATCCTATATTATGCCTTCATGTCTTGTATGAATCCAGTCACTCTGGTTGCTGTTTTTTAAGAGATGGCTCTGTAGTTCCAGTCTTAGGTGTAAAGTAAGAAGGCTCGGGAGGAAGAGGGTGAAAGTGTGCAGCTGAGTTCACTGTTCCATAATGTCCCAGGCTTGGAGCCCCTGAGCAAGAGGGCTGGGAAGGGGCCTATTGGAGGCCTTGCTTTGGGGGCTCCATGCTGGACTTGGGAATACAGACAGTTACCTGCAGGAACATAGCGGGGGTTCAGGACAGCGGGCAAGACAAAACGGGCAGCGCCATCCGGTTCCACAGCTAGCGCTTGAACGTAGCACAGTTTCAATGTGGCACCCGCACCAGGAGGAAGATTGCCCAGGCTGCATATGAAGATGTCGCTGGTGTTTTCTTCTCTCTCAAGCAGGAAAGCCTGGCGGCCTTGGCTCAGGGCATCCTCATATTCTTGCTCTGCCTGTACTGGAGAAGAGGGAGAGACAGGTGGGAAGAGGACAAGATCACAGATTAGTGTGGTCACAAATAAAGTGTCTCTGGGACTTGGGGTTTAGTCTATTTTTCACCATGCATGTCTCATGCTTATGACAATATGTTATGAATTTCTAAAGATATGGTATAAGAATTTTTAAAGGGAAGATTAACATGCTATCTAGCCGAATTAAGTCTTTGACGGCAAGAGGACAGGGCAAACGATGTGGCAAAATAAGTCCGATTTGCAAGAGCCCCTAGGTGAACCACACAAGATGTGACTGAGATCACGGTGCTTGTGAAATGTAATCTTGCTTATCATCTTGGTTAGAACTATGCATGCATCAAAAATTGTTTGGAAGAGGTGGTCCAAATCCACAGAAGAGTGGGCTCTATTTGGTGAGTGTGAAAAAATATGTGGCTGCTTTAATAAACTAGCATATCGAAGTATTTGTGTCTGTAATGTGACTTGTTAAAATAGCCTAAAAAAAGAGGCAGCTGCTTAAAAGATGTGTTGCATTCACTCTCCTATGTGTTCTGAAGCATATCTTCACAATAAGTTCTGGAATGTGCACAACTCTATCGATCGAATTAAAAAAAAAAAAATCCCAGCAAGCAATGGGAAACCCCTTCCATAATGTAGCCAAGAAGACTACATACATCTAGTCATCAGAAGCTGCATTTAGCAACCTTTCCAGATAGCCTTCTTTTGAAATTGAACATACGTTCACATGTGTGGGTAATTACAGTATTCCTACCACCTCTCAACAGTTCACTATTGTAGATGAACAAATTTGTCAAGAAACTGTTTGACCAAACTGAAGAAAATGTATTTAAATCTGTTAGCAAAGCTGATTATGACACGCAGAATTCTTGAGACAATCTGGGTGCAGTGATGTAGCTTCTGCTGCCTTAGACCCTTGTATTCTCAAATGTTTTAGTCCTCTGCACCTGCTTCTTCTCTCGGATCTGGGCCTCAATCCGTTTCCCACCAGTCAGACCCTCAAAGGCATATACTGTAGCCTCATCATCCAGAGGGAAGACAAAGGTGGCCTCCACAGGGTTCTTCTCCTCATTCTTGTATTGGAGATCAGCTGCTACATCAGCCACGAAACCTCGGACAATGACATCCACAGAAATGCTTTTCAAAGGCACTGGGGTGTGGAAATAGCAAAAAGAGGATAGTTACGTCAATATCTGGCCTGGACCAGAGCAGAAAACCCTGAGCAGAGAGTTAACTGTTGAGAGTACTGAGAAGAAATCCCTTGGTAGGCACTGTTCCCTTACTCCAAGGTCTGTAACCCCAAGATTGATTGACTGATTGATGGAATTTATATGGCTGCCCATCTTGCTTGTGTGTGACTGGACAGCATACACAATTAAAACACAAACAATCACAAAATTCAACCATTAAAACTAATTAAAAACAGTTAAAAACTACAATAACAAAAAGACAGGGATAATGCAGTCTAAATGTATACACAGTGCAACCATTTAATGGGCTCCACACTTCCATGGGATCCCCAAGCCTGATGGCACATCCAAGTTTTGAAGGCCTTCTGGAAGGCCAACAGGGTTGGGGCAGCCTCACCTTGGGGGAATGTTGTTCCAAAGGGTGGGTGCCACAGCAGAAAAGGCTCTCTCCCTGGGTCCTGCCAAACAAAGCTGCTTGGCTGATGGGACCCACAGCATGCCCCTTCTGCTAGACCTGATGGGACTGGTAGATGTAACTGGGGAAAGGCAGTCATAATTAGCACCTCGAATTGGACCCAGAAGCAAACTGGCAACCAATGCAGCTTGCGGACAGAGGTATAACATGCAGTTCTTGGAATACACACAACTGCCTGTGCTGCTGCGTTTTGCATCAGCTGAAGCTTCCAGATACTCTTCAAGGACAGAGTATGCAAATGACCTGCAAAGCTATAGAATTACAGATTATAAGCTCAAAAACACCACAGTTTCATTTTTAATTAACTTGCAACTTGCCATTTAACCAGCAGTCAGATACTTGGTTTACCTGGCTCCTTAAAGAATGTAAGAAGGCCATATCTGTGCATAGCTGACACTCTATAGAGAAGAAGCAAGCCACGACAACTGTGGAAGACAAAAATTATTACCCTATTTTTATTTTAATTTAAGGAAATAGCTATAATCTCACATCATTGTAAGTCAACAATTGTTTCAACTAAGAAAATGGTTTTCTGACATGACATAGGGTCTATTTTTATCTGAGCAAAGTCCTTATACCATGTCTGGCCAATTCCTGGTATGAATTCTTCAATTTTTAGTCATTCTTACCTTGCATCTCTGTGGATTAGCTAGAGGTTTGATGGGCCATATCAGAAACTAGGAATAACCATGTTTCCCTGTTTGCACAACCCATTATGCCATATCTGCAGTCAGGAAGCCTGCAGAGAATAATAGTTTACTGCTATAAAATCATGGGTTATATACTGAGCCTGTATACACATCATGATAAGCCAAAATAAACAAGTCATATAATTCACTGCGTGAATTCATCCATAGAAAGATTTCCTGCAGCTAAACCCTGCCAAATACTTTTCTCTTTCTTCAGCAGAATCCATTACTGCAGTGAAACCATTTTTCTGCTATATTGAATTAGACCTCTTTATAATGCCACTCACACTGAACATCACCCAAATTATAAAAGCCACAAATAAGCAACACCTTAGCAATTTCTATGCAATGAAAAGCTAACATTTATAGCATCCGACTAGCATAAGAAAGATTGGGGGGAAAATTTCCATGTTCTTCTTTAGGGGACCAGATTTCAAAATACGTGCAAACAGATACAACCTTTATTACTTCCTGCTGCATAGCAAGATGTTTCTGGATGGTCTGATATAGGAGTTAACGGCAAAGGCAACCCCCCCCCCCAAACCCAATATTCTTTCCATAAAGTAATTGTGCATTGTCAGCCCTACAGGGTAAACCAGATCAGGAAACCGACTCCACAGGAAGACTAGAACTACAGGTGAAACTCGAAAAATTAGAATATCA